ACTTAGAACTGCCAACCTTTGATTAGCAGCAGTCCAATGCGTCAGCACTACTCCACCCGGGCTCCCAAATGAAGTAGGGAAGAACCAAAGTATTAAGGATATGAACACTGAATTTTAGAATAATGAACAAAGGCGCACACACTGTCATTATCTTTGTCAATTTAAAACATGATACTGAAATGTCCACTGACCCTCTCAGTGCACATGGCAGGCTCTATGCACAGCTGTAGACACTGACAGGAACTTACATGTGGGGAGATTACTCCCTGTTGGTTTAATTTTCATCAATATAATCTGGCTTTTACTATTATTTTCCCTTTTCTTAAATATTCTGCACGTCTTAAAAAAGAAAATGAGGCACAAATGCAGGTTTGTACACCAGTGTTCATAGTGGCATTATTCACCATAGCAAAAACATGGGAACAGCCCAAATGTCCAACAACAAACAAATGGATTGGGAAAATATGGTACATTCACACAATGGAAACTATGCAGCACACAGGAGCAATGACTTTGTAAATTATTTCCTAACTTGAGAGGGACTGGAGAGCATTATGCTGAGTGAACTAACTCAGTCGCACAAGGACAAATACTGTATAAAACCGTTATTGTAGAATGAGTATAAGGATCCAGGAGGGGTGGAAGAGGCTGGAAGCAGAAGGATGAGAATGTGCAGGGGAAGGAGGGGGATTAATCATTGGGTTGTACGTACAATTTGATTTGGGGGGGGGTGTGAGGGAAATTGGACCATTCTGTTCTCTAAAACAATGTATTCAAATTTTGTAAATAAACTAGTATAAAAAATGAAAGTCGAAAAAAGAAGCACCATTACCAGAATAAAGAAGTATCAAGCTGCAATGAAGAAAAAAAAAAAATGAAAGTCAATTTGGGGATGGGAAAGCAAGGGAGAGGGGGCAAAATGTGTAACAATGAATTAATGAATGAAAATCTAACTTTTCTGTAAACTTTTGTTAAAATCACAATTAAAATAAAAAAAATTATTTAAAAAGTAAATCTTGCATAGTGAAAAACAATGTTTTATTAATCTAAATGTGTACAAGAGGTTATATAAGATTGAGGCCAAATAAAAGAACTGTCTCCCTATAGGTGAGCTACATAACTGCCACCGTCAAGTGCCTTTATATGTGATTACGACACCCTACCAAGTAATGGAAGAAAAAGCAAACTATAGTAAAGTTAGTCTTATACATTCTAAACAATTTTCTAAGCAATTAGGCAACTTAGTGATTAATCTATTATTTAGTCTATGTTTACTCTGCAATCCAAATTAAGAGTATTAATATAAAAGCATTTTATGACGGGCAGTAAATGTCCTGAGATTCACAGGAATTAAACAGTGAATTGAGTAGTAACTGGCCAATCTTGGGCTCATCGCTAAATCCCAAATGTTAAAAATAGTATGTTGCTACGTGCGATGAAAATAGGAAAAATGTACAATGAAGACGATTAGGAAATCATCCAGAGATGATCTAGAAGGAACTCTATGACAATCAGCCTATTAACTAGAAAAAGAAATTAAAACCTAAAACTTCAAAAGTAGGTCCAGGCATGATTCCAAGGAAACTCACTCTAGCGGGCCATTACCCCTATCTGAAAAGATTTGTCAATGTCATCTGACTGACTGGTCTGTACCACTACTACACACTTCTACTACTATATTTCTTTAACTTGAAACTAACTGTTATCTTGTTTCTTTTGGATCTAGGAACAGTAAATAAAATGTGACTGCATGACCATCTTCTATAAGAGTTTATGGAATATATATATCTACATGTGTGTATAAAATAAAAACAACAGAAATAGAGGTGGGGGATCTTCAAATATTAGAAAGTATCAGGTTGACAAATAGTTCATGTGTCCTACTTAAGTTACCAAAGGTAGATTTTAATGTGGTAGAAAGAAGAACTAATATGTCCGGAATTTGGAAGGACTTTCAACTTCCTGGACGATACTTTGCCAAATTGAAAGTATGCTTAAAAATATTTAATGCTTTTTGATCAAGAGAATTTCAGACATTTATTCCAAGAAAATGCTTGGAGACACACCAAAAGATTTAAGAATAGTGACACAATTTATTAAATGAAACAACTAATTGGAAGCAACCTAGATATTATTCAGCCATGCTATTTCAAAATTAGTAAGAGAAAATGCTAAGAGTAAAATATTAGTAGGGAAAATGTCAACAGTGTCAATTTTGCCAAATGAATATTTCCATATATAAAATTAAAAAGAAAGTAACTATAAAAGTAATCAGAAGACAACTTATGATAATGTATTAGTAATGACATCTGCAGGTAGTGCAATTCCAGGGTAAGTTTGGTTCTGAATTTTAATCCATAATCATATATTAATTTAATCAATATAGAATAATTATTTATCTCAAATACTATAAAAAGGAGTATTATACAGTAAGTCGAAGTATGTAACTCTCACGTTCTCAAAGATACTACAAACTGTCAGGAGGCTTTTTAAAGAAGTTAAAGCTTAAGAAAATCTAAAGTCAATTTTTAAAGATAGTTAAGCACAGGATTATTTTAAGAAGCAGTATCTCTGGGCTTGTAGCTTTTTCTTAGAAAAATAGGCAGTGAACTTAAATAAGTGTGACTAATCGGGGGAATAAAATCATGCTAATAACTGACCTTTCCAATATGGTCAGTGTGAAAACCAAGGTGTGCCTGATTCTAGCCACGGCCTTTTCAGTCACTTGCTATGCATGTGAGAGCTGGACAATGAATAAAGATGACAGACGAAGAATCGAAGTCTTTAAACTGTGGTGTCAGAGAAGAGTAATCAATATGCCACGGACTGCCAAGAGAACAAACAAGTCTGTCTGGGAGGAAGTACAATCTGGCTGTTCTTTAGACACCAAGAGCGTAAAACCTGGTCTCACATACTTTGGGCATGTTGTCAGGAGGGAGAAGTCCTTGGAAAAAGACATCATGCTGGAAAAGGTAGAGTATCAGCCAATGAGAGAAAGACTGTCAACAAGACGGGCTGACACAGTAACTCTACTGACGGGTTCGAGCATATCAGATGGTGAGGGTGGTGGAGACCAGGGTAAATTCTGATCTACTGTGGATCACAGAGTCACTATAGGCATCATAGTCTACTTGATGGCACCTAACATCGTAACCCCACCATCACCATCACCATCACCATCAAAAAAGGACGATAGAGACTAAAGCGAGAAAGGTCTCCTCATTTTCCTCAAAAGAACTGCTACTTTGACGCTGGTCTACACAAACGACGACTGCTCACAATGATAAGCGTTACCCGCATAGGCCTTCCTGGCAGGACTAGAGTTAGAGAGGGAGCATCAAGTATTAAGAAAGGATCTTTAAAAAAAAACGCCTTCTTATATCCATTTGATTAACATCAGAATTAAGTGACATTTGGTAGACAGCTATGATTTCAATTGTAATCTAAGAAAAGCAGCTCATTATAATGGTCTATCTTCACGAAAATGTTCAATAGCATCATCAATTTTAAATGTTGGTTCACATCAAGTAAAATAAAACAGCTTTATTATTGTAATAAAATCCTAGATAAGAATCTAGAATCTAAAAATCAAGAAAAGTTTAAAACTCTAGTAATAACAAGGTAGCCATTTATTACAAAAGGAAGAAATATTAGAATGTCATATACTTTTTACCAGCGATAAGACGGTTTAATACAAAACAGCATATAGTAGGATATCTGGATATCAACCATATCTGGATGAGAATATAGGCTTTTAAGTAAAAAAGAAATAAATATTCAACATATCAAAAGAATACTCAAAAATATCCACAGAAATCAATGAGAACTTGTCATTCTTTAGTATTCTGCTTATGCATTTAATATGTGTGTTTGTTTATACACACACACTCTTTATTTTTATGTTATCTGTACATACATCACATGCTAATTTCGTGGTTATATGATAGGTGAAAAGAGATAAACTGAAATACTTCTGATAGTTTTACCATAGTGAAAATATTCTATAATCTGGAAACAAATTTCTAGTTGTAAAGAAAGATCAAGGACACACCCCCTCACTGAGCCTGGCCAAAATAGACAGCTCATCTTTATTTCCTTTTAAAGATCACAGGAGGAAAAATTCAAAAACTATGAAGCTCGCTAGTTATCGTCAGCAAGGAAGAAATATTCTGCCAACTTCATAACTAAAACATAAGTCAGTTTAAAAAAAGGGGAGTGAGAGAAAGGAAACTAGTTGTTTCACCATTACATATGTTCACCCTCATTCTTATAGGATTCATTCTACCAGACACCAACCAAACACCTGAAACGCACCCGTGGCTTTTAAATGAGAATGGGTGAGGGAGGCAATGACATTGTTTAAAATATAAACAATATACTAGGGGAAAAAACCCATTCTACTAAGATAAAGAGACCAAACTATGTCCTATCTTAGTGCATGAAACTTCTCTGTCCTGTTAGTATCCAGAAACAATTTTTGTGAGAATTGTTATTTCACCAGCACCCATTTCCTACTGTAGTATATATGATTCACACTACTCAATGTTTTCAATCATTCTTCAATGTTGGAGTATTCAAAACTCACTAGTCTGATGAATACATAAAAATATGACATGATTCAACATTTCTTTAATAGATAACCACTTAGAAACAAACAGCTGAATCTAAAAATCTGTATTATCCTTTTTGAAAAAAGAAAGATAGCAAAAAAAGTAAAACATATCCATTTAAATCTCTCCTTTAAAATGGCATCTGGGAAAGAAATACTCTCAGGAAAACACTAGTTCCCGTGTGTGTGTGTGTGTGTGTGTGTGTGTGTGTGTGTGTGCTGACAAGGAAAAGCCACACACAGTATTTCAGAAGGTACCACATACACTGCAGCCACTCAGCAACTGTGCTGCAGTCAGGGATCAACGCCCTCCTCTGAGGTTCTCAGGACGTGCAGCATGTCAGGGGCACGGGGCGTGCATGCACATGGGATCCAAGCTGGGTTACGTTACCTCCAACCTTAGGGCCACCTGCTGAACCAGGCTTCCTTGCACTGTTGACAGGATTTCCGGGCGTTTTAGGTGCAGGGACCTTGAAGGCTGAAGCAGCTGATGACGGTCTATTTCCATCCACTGATTCTTCATCATCAAAGCTTTTATCTGGACAAAGCATTAAAAAATTGTATTTATGAGAACTACACTGTGCTTCATTTTTCATCAGAATAAAAAAAGCCAGTAAAATCATACATATAACCATTAATTTGGAAAGCTGTATTACAAAATAAAGCCCCTCTGCACAGCATTGATATACTGACTAGCTAGCACTGTACAGAATACCCCTATGTAATTAAAAATCAGAATGCAGTATTCTCTTATTTCCTTCCGATACATAAAAGGGGAAGCATAAAATCAAAGACATTCATTCTAAGGATAGTAAAAATGCCCTTTTCCTCCCCATTTTTTTGCTACTCATGGAAGCATTTTCTGCCAGCTCCTCCCATGGTGAATCTTCTAGCACGCCCTGCCTTATTCCTTACACCCAGATTCTGCAACTTACAATCACAGATCCGTTTGCAAATCAGTCGCCTCATTCCTCTGAGAGCTCTAATTTCCCTCACCCTAGGATGCTCCCAACAGCTCACATGGCCAAATTCAGTAAATTCAATACTAATCAAAGATTCTATCAAAAATAGACAGAAACAACCACAGAGCCACCACTGAGGTTTGTGCCGGCATTTTTCTTTCTCTTCCCTGCCCTAGGTGCTGCAACAGCCAATCAGCTGCAAGGTGACATCATCTTATGGCAGCTCCAGCAGATGAAAGGTAAAAATTCTCCATGTATCTAAGGAAATTCTCCAGGCAGCTACAATCCTCATCTATTACCAAATTTGCTAAAAGCATCAATAAATACTAAAGGTATGTAAAGCTAAACTGGCTTTTTCTTATTTCAGTCACGTGAACATTTTTACAAACAGAAAGAAAATGATTTTATGCAATATTCTGCAGGGGTGGTTATTACCGCATCAGTAAAGCAGAAAATATCACAGTGCTCCTTTGCTCTAGATAATTAATTCTGAACTCTTGCAATTTGCCTAGTACCAAAATGAACCATTTTTTTTTCTCATAAAGGATTCTACTACAGTGTTCACTACGGCTCCTTGTACGATACTTATGGAAGATGACACTATTATCGTCTCCTTGGAAATACTCAGAACACACGCAGCCGCTCCCCTCACAAGATGCATGCGCCCTGCCCCTCTCCTATGACAAGGCGGTTTCTCTAGGACCCGGCACAGACCAAGCGTGACAAACAAGATGGGAGAGGCAGAGAGGAGCTTTACCAAAGGCTTCTCTGATCAAGAGCGACCTTCTCTCTCAGCTTCCCTTCCCTATGCAAATACCTGAATTATCTAGATTGCCACAGTCTCTCCAAAACAATGCTCTGAATCTAACTTCTGAATCTATTTTACACTAGAACCACCAAGCTTGAACACCTTTGATTGATTAGGGGGGGTAAACAAAACAGACACCTTAATATAAAAGCACTTTTCATTTTTGCATTTTTCTTAAACAATGCAACTCACAAAGAGTAAGACTGTCATTCCGGTAAAAAAGAATTTTCCCCACTTTTGGCTTGACACGATTAGGGAGCTTGTCTGGTTAACACAATGGGCTTAACCCTATACCTTAACAGATAGCTCTTCTAAAAACACCAATCCAATTCCTATATAAACTTTTTTTGCCATCAACAACTAAAAATAAAAACGCAGCCGAGAGACTGATCAGCCACACAGACCCACAGGAAGACAGGCACTGAACACAGAGCAGCCAGGAGTTCCCATGGCAACAGGGTTCTGTTTGTAAAGCAGTCGCCTGTCCCAACACACTGGAGTCGAAAGAGTAAACTTCTCTACATTATGAGGGGGAAATTAACTCTTCACATTCTCCAACTACCAGGTAACTGATTTTTATTTTGCTTTTAACCAAAACAGACCAGAGAAAAGTATACAAATTGTGAGAGTTTAACAATATATCAAAATGAAGATGGCAATATAACCAAAATCCAGATCAACAGAATATTCTTATCAGTGTCATGTTAAGCACCCTAGTAATTCCCTTCTTAGAGTACTGGGTTGATTCCTACCTAAAGCTAACTAATCTCAGTAAAGTTGATTTTGCCATTTTTGAACTTTATATAAATGAAACCATGTCATATGTTCCATTAGTCTAGCTTTTCCATGTTTGAAAGATTCATTCATTTTCACTGTTGTACAGTTTCCTAGTATATGAATGCACCATGATTTATTAATAGCCATTCTACTGCTGAGGGCCATTTGGGTTGCTTCCAATTTGAGGTCGTTCCAAAATGGTCTTTCCAAGAGACAAACAGAGAAGTTAAAGGATTCCATGCTGGAGAAGCAGAGAACGTAGCAATTTACTTTCATTTGTACAAAGTCAAGGATGGGCGCTCCGCCCTGCAGTCCGGAAGGTGCTGTAATTCCCTCCCCACGTGACTGACAGTCTCTAGAAACCTACTGGATGGTCAGCTATGAGTTGGTTCTGACTCTAGAGAAATCAGAGAAGTCAACGATCCTCTAGAATTGTTGTTAGTTGCTGTCAAGGCTACCATGACTCACAGTGACCTTCTGAAGGATGGATCTGAACCCTGGCCTACCCTGTGCTATAGCTGCTATCTCTGATACACCTGAGCCCAGTGTTACAGTCACCGTGTGCATCTATCTCGTTGAGAGAAGCATCACCTTTGGGTTACAGACAAGCTCTCAACAGACTATGTGACCAGAACTCCTAACAGAGGACAGAGTAGAACTGCCCCAGGGGAAAGGAGCTGTGCTGCCAACCTAAAGGCGCGCTGCTTGAGTCCTCCAGCTGTTCCATGGAGAACGACGGGCAGTCTCCTCCTGTGTGATTTACAGCTTCTGAAAAGCTGCTGGGAGTCAGTTCCGTCTCAACAGACCTCATAGGGTTTCTAAGGCCGTAATCTTTAAGAGCAGACCGTCACCTCCATCGGCCGTGGTGGGTTCAAATGACAGACTCTTTGGTTTAGTGGCTCAGCATTTAAGTGCCACAATCTGAGGAAGTGTTACACCATGGAGATGAGAACATGGTAACACAAGTAACAGGAAGAAAGCACAACCCTATGGCTTTCTGCACTAAAAGAGACATCATGTAAAAAAATGAATAACCAAAAAAAAGGATAAAAAGACAAATCTATAAGCAAAGGAAAAAAGTTTTTACCCACTTCCAATAAAGATAAGGAGTGGAATAGTCAGATCACTGCTCAAAAGCCTCAGAGTCCACAGAAAACCCTACCAGGTCTCCAACATCCTGCTGATTTTGGAAATCCCACAGGTCTCTCTGACTTCATCATCATTCATTCCCCAAACTTCTCCCTGGACCAGTCCTCTGGGCTCTGTGCTGTGATGCATGGCAGGGCCTCTGCGTTTGCTCCCTCTTCCCGGAAGGCCCCTCCTCTCCACAGCCACACTGTTAGTTGATTACTCATCTCCTTTAGATCTTTATTCAACTGTTATCTTCTTAAAGAGGTCGTCTTTGGGTACTAAAATAGCAACCCTCCCAAGACCTTGACAATCCTCAGCCCTGCACCTCTCTGCTTCGCTTTCCCACAGCGCTTTCACCATCAACATATGTTCGTTCTTTGGTTTAACTATTTTTCTCCCACGAAAATGTACAATCTAGAGGATTCAGACTTCTTCTTTGCCTATTACAACATCCCCAACATCTGGAGTAATGCAGCAAACAGTAGGAAGAATTTAGTTCTCTAGTATAAGCATCGTTAGGTTCTTTGTAACAAATCTTATGAGAACTGGAAACACTTGATAAAAATCCAAATTTTCCTTCTAGCTGATAAGCTAGTAAGAAACACCAGGATAAAACTGGTATAGCTAAAAAAAATAAAAAGAAAAAAAAACTGGTATAACTGAACTTCTTTTCTGAAAACGCTCCAGGAGCAACAAACAATTAAAAAAAACCCAAAAAAACACCACAAAAACCCACCCCGCAGAGAAGGTCTAACAAGAGATTCTTCCCACCAAACTACTATACCTTCAAGGTTAAAGGGAATCAAAAGTACATTCCTACCATCATCTATTCTTCTCAAACTTTTCTCAAAAGAGAGCAACAAGGAAGTCAATCACATGGACCACTTCACTAGTCAATTCCTTAGTCCAGGGAGATACAAGCATTTCAATTCAATGGGTGCACACTGGTAGTACCACCAAGCAACAGCTAAAAGAAACGAAAAATCTCTGTGGAAAAAAAGGCTCTCTCTGGTTCCAATTTATTCCTGCAAATACTTTTCCAAAGGTTATCAGGCATAACATGAAATAAGATTCCATGAGAAAGAACAAACAGAAAGAATTAGGCAACAGAAGTAGATTTATTCCAAATCCTGGAATTATCAGATGCAGATGACGAAAAACACTCAGGCTTGAAATAACTTCAGATAGAAGTAAAATTATAAAGAGTGACATACATTTTTTTAAATTTTATTTAATTTTGTTATTTTTTTGTGTGTGCGTGTACCGTCAAATCAGATCTGACTGGTACAGGAGGAGATTGCCCCTCCTTCCCCGGCAGAGCATCTGGTGGATTTGAACTGTGCACCTCTGGGATTGTAGTTGCAGCTTCTTGCCACTAGGCCATCAGAACTCCCCTGTGACATACATTTTTAAACTAACCAAACCAAACCAAATGTCCAGAAGTAAAAAATAGAGTAAAAACAATTTAAATTCTGTGTATCTGCACAACAGCTCAAGAGAGCACTCGTGAAACGGAAGAGAAACCAGCAGACATCACCAAGGCCAAAAATAGTCAGCGCTCTGATATTTACTGAATAAACATAAGGGTCAATACTGACTGAATACTAAATTATTAGTATGCTGATGCTTCTATTCTTACTCCAATGTTATAACAAGACAAAGGTATAATTAGATGAGGAAACTGACGACAGCAAATATTAAAAAGTAATCAAAGATACTAACCAGAATAAGCAGACTATGGTGACTGTTTATATGATGAAGATGGAAAAGAAGGAACAGAAGAGGAGGAGATGAAGAAGTGGAAAAAAGATGACGTAGAGTATAGAAACACGGCAGGGAGACAAAAGAATAATGAAGGAG